TTGAGTACATGGTTTGCTTAGTCTTCCAAAATGCAGAGTTCATTTTTCGGCGACGAATTAGGGGATTGGAATGATTAAAGCTTTAACTACAATTAATTTCCCATCATCTTAGGTGCCGTGTTTACCATTCAGTAGTGAGTCAGTGTAGATAAAAGAATCTTGTTATTTGGCCTTGTGATAAGCGTCATGGAGCAGCATCTACTCGAAGGACATCCAAACAGTTTTCTTCCCAAACGGAAATTGCATATGATAATATCTGATTGATCTAGCAAGGGGAGTCATTAGCGAAGTGAATGCGCCCAACGATGAGTAACAGTATTTATTATATCAAATGACAGGCGTTATGATAGTTATCATTAGCCCTTTAGATGACTTCGGGCTTCATAGAGGGAAGGAACATCGAAGGGAAGAATGTCGAGAGGAGGGGGGGGGACAGAAGAGTGTTTTAAAGATGTAAAAGAGGCAGACACAAAGGTAGATGAAAGGTGAGGTGAGTACTATGAAAGTGGTCGAATATGACATGCAATGGGGTCAATTGCCGTTTTATAGACTTTTTTGCCGTATGAGTATACGTTGCCCAGGGAGTCATTTAAAAACTTGCCACAAGAGATAGGTATAAGGCAGAACAACATATGTGGCAAATAAATCAGCGAGTTGTAGATCACATAAACGAATTTCTACATAGATGGTCAAAGAAGAAATGTCATTTTTCGAAGGGGGGAGGTGGTGTGCGATAGACGTAGATCACCCTGGGCAACGTTTACTCATAAGGCAAGAAAGTCTATTAACCGGCAGTTGACTTCTGACTTCAAATTACCATCACCCCACCATATGTCATATTCGACCCCTTTCACAGTACTCATCTTACCTTTTCTCGGTCTTTGTGTCTGTCATTTTTATATCTGTGGATCACTCTTCTGACCCCTCCCTCCCCCCACTTTTGTCACATTGATGTTCCTCCCCCCTCTGTGAAGCCAAAAGTCAACTAAAGGGCTAATGACAATTATCGTCTCCTTTTTGTTGAAGCAAAATGAATTTGCTCTCTCGCTGCCTAAGGAGCCATTTAAATTAATTAATTAATTGATTTCACCGGGTCTTAATGCGGCTTTCATATTTACCCCGTCATTAATTTCCATCTACTGGTGTGTGCGATAGACTTACCTCCACGTGATGCACCCTGGGCAACGTATACCTATACGGCGAAAAAGTCTATTGACTGGCAGTTGACTTCTGGCATCAAACTACTATGGCCCGACTGCTTGTCATATTCGACCCCTTCACATAACTCATCTTACCTTTACCTTTGTATCTGTTTGTCTCTTTTGCATCTATGAATCGTTCTTCTGTTCCCCACCCCTCGACTTTCTTCCACTTTGATTAACCTTCCCTCTATGAAGCCCGAAGTCAGCTAAATGGCTAATGATATCTATCAAAACGCCTGCCATTTGAAATAAATAAATAAATATTTCCATCTACTAGTACCAATTTTCCAATAGATGAATTTATGTCTTTTCAGTTTTGAAAATAAATTGTTTCTACCAACATGCCACTTGGCTTTGCACTCATGAAACCAGGATTCAACCACGGCCTGGATTGTATTTAAAGCTGATAACTACTTCAACATGGCGAATCAGTGATTTCGTTGATTCTACCGATTGAAACTTTGCTTCAAACAAATAATGTCTAATATACAGGACCCAAGTTTCAGGGCCTAGTCGCTGGCCTCATGACTATGAGAGTAGTTCAGGGGATTCCCTTCCGTGCTTGGCAACCGTGTCGGGTGTTCGTGTGATCAAAATATCGAAAAATCACCAGAGTTAATTGAGCAATTAGTCAGAACAGCTGAAAATCATCTTAAGCATCCTTGACAACAGACGACGTTTTCTATCACTCTGCATTATCTATCCAGGTTAATGTGGTACAGTTGTGATTTCTAAAATAATTTCTCAGATTCAAGAATGTAACCTGTTATTTATTTATTTATATCAAATGGCAGGCGTTATGATAGTTTTCATTAGCCCTTTAGCTGACAGAGGGAAAGGAACATCAAAGGCCAAAAAAACGAGAGAGGAGGGAGAGGAAGGGAAGAATGTTTCAAAGGTGTAAAATAGACAGACACAAAGGCAGAGAAAAGGTGGTTGAATGTAACATACAATGGGGTGTTGGTAATTAGAAGTGAGAAATCAACTGCCGATAAATAGACTTTTTGCCGTATGAGCATACGTTGCCTATCGCGCAGCCCATGAAACCTGTTATAATTTCAGTGCAAACTGTGTAATTGGCTTCTTAATTATGTTAATTATATCAAGCTTTCATTCTTTTGTTCCATAGAAAAATTTTTGAACTTCCACAAACACTTCATCACTGTAGATCACCAAGTAAAATGAATTTCCATGAAAAAAACTATCAGCTAATTCCATTGTCTTGAACTTATGGGAGAAAGTGAGTCTTTCTGTAGAAAGCTTGCATGATTTATCAATTTCTACTCAAGATGAGATTTGGAGGTTTATACACGATACCGCAGACATGTTGCTCCATGACTAGACACATTTCGCGTATGAAGTTGCAGCATGAGGCATGATTAAAGAAAATAGGGGGTGGAGAGGGTGGATCTCGATAATGGAAATGATCACGGCGTTTAGAATGCAATTAGACCCTAGTTAGGTCACCTAGGTACGCTCGACTATCCAAGTTAACAAGATTAGTCAGATGACATTGTTTTAGCGCAAAAGATAAGCCTTGTTATGAAAAACAATGACACAATTATATAGAAATATATAAGCAATCGTAAATCTGCAATATTTTAATTAATTCCATTCATGATAAATGTTAGTGTTATCACCCAAATCAATATCATTTAATTGAGGAGAATAGCTGTCAAGACCTGAGTAGATCAACAAGGCTCTAAGAGAAATGTCATGACATCAAAATGACACTTAATTTGATCGTTGTACAGCACAATAATCAAGCAATTGGTGGCCAACGCTTCGACAGTTAAATTTTGTGAGTTATTTACCGAATTGCTGCAAATGTATTTCTGAGATGGACAATGCTCATTTGCCGATTTCGTTAATGCAAAAGAGTCGATCCTGTGACTTGCGTGCTGTCCAAAAAGGGCAGAAATTTAGCCTTGACAGAGAAAATATGGCAGTCAAATTCAAATGAACAACGCTCCAATCAATGTGAATTTTGTTTATTTTAATTACCCTAATGATCGGGTGAGGTATTATTGATCTGAAAGTGTAAATGGCTAGAATTTAGGTTTTGCAGTGGGAAATAGTTGTTTATTTTAGAGTATATATCTAGACCCACACATAAGCTATCATTCACTAGTGGGATTCCCAACGCCATTAATCACTGCAATTTTGATCAGGAGTATGACGATCGAAGAAGAAACGAAGTCGACAAATCAGCAGCGTCTCCTCTCACGAATTAGGCATTCACCGGTGTGGAAAGATTCCACAAATATCCTTCTTCTGGTTTTTCTCTACATGCTGCAGGTATGTTCACCTATTTTACATCTTTTATTTATCTTAACCTTTGAAATTATCTTGTTTTATTCTTACTAAAATACACACTTCTTATGAAAGCACATAAAAGAATCAAAAGAATGTATTCTTTTAATCCAAATTATCATGTGAACATATGTGTAAACTTAACTTTGCTTTAACTGGAATGTGTGAGACGCCGTACGTTTAACGTGCTCAAAGGTAACGCATTTGGGTCGTCTAGAATAATTATATGAAGAGAAAGTATTGATGTAGAGACTTGCATCAAATCGGGGCTTCGAATATCACAAATTTGAATGCATTTTAATGAAAAAACCATCAGCGATCTTTCTCAAATTCCCTCTTATCCCCTTTTGATTTGCATTTCTGATTTCGGTTTAGCACAATCCTCACATTCTGATATTGAACATCTTTTTTCAGCAAATTAGATTACTCCTTTTAATTAGCTAAATTGTTTTGAAATTAACCTGAATCTAAATACTTGCCTTTCGCATCAAAAGTTCTAGAAGTTGGCACTGTCTTTATCTCAATTGCACAATCAGTAGCATCAAACTTTTTAATTGAATTTTTTCAAAATTTTCAATGTGGTACCTGTAATGTGCTTATCCGCAAATTCAGAATTCACCGGTGCACAGTAGCACTCTTGATGCCAGAAGAAGTGGAGGAGTTGGCAGGATTCGAGTTTCATGACACAATCCTATTACTGTTGACCTAGTCAATCTCATGTGTGTGGCCTCACTCTGACCACGTTAGCGGTCAAATAAGGTCATGTGTGAAGAGACCTCTCAACAAACAAACAATCAATAATCATTTCAAGGTCAAAGTAAACGAAACCATCTTCATTGAATTATCCCTATCCAAATATCATCCCAATCATCACAACTTCAATGAACGCATTCCACGTCATACGTGATGTGTCATTAATGCTATTAGGGTGATTTGTCAACTTCAGGGACAATTTCATGTTTGTTGATTTTGTCATGGAGATTGGAGAGGCTTATTCGAGGCTTATTTACGTAGCATTCTGCCACTGGCTAATGATTTTGTCTACATTGGTTGGGTGTCGGGAAGATATCATCAATTGGAAGATTAAAAGAACTGATTGTCGATATTTTTCTTTCGAATCCAAATTGTCTGTTTTGTGTGCACCACATCGATCTCTTAAGTGCAATACTCCAATTTACAATGTTATTTTAATTTATTCAGTAGTATTTCATGGTTTGCTTTTAACGTAAAATGATGCCTAAGTCAAATATAACTCTATCATACTGATAGCGCGGCAATCTCTCTATGGAGTTACCCTCTGCCTAAAGTGTCGACCAAACTATGTCTGGCCATATCGCAAGGATAACAGACTGGTGTTTTATTAATTTGGCTCCATTTTCTGTTTTCGATTTGTTTTTCACTTCTGTAGGGTATTCCCTTGGGTCTTTCATCGGTTGTTCCACTTTTACTACAATCCAACAAGAAAACTGCTAGTTATCGAGATGTAGGCATCTTTTCATGGGTTAATTGGACATTTTCACTCAAACTCATCTGGGCACCCTTCGTGGACACTTTCTATTTCAAGCGAATCGGTCGACGAAAGTCCTGGCTCATTCCTGTACAATTAGCTATTGGTGGTATTTGCTTCATTATCGGAGGTCAGGTTGACCGCTGGTTAGGTCGGCCTGTGGGTGATGCTTGGGGACCCCTGGGAACCACTGGTGATGTCCAAATTTTTGCCCTCACTGCTGCATTTTTCAGTCTAAATTTCCTCGCTGCCACTCAAGATATCGTAGTGGATGGTTGGGCCATATCTATGCTATCCAAGTAAGAAATTCGTGTTCACTAACTCGACACTTTTAGGGAGAATCTTGGCTGGGCCCCAACTTGTCAAACCATTGGACAAACCATTGGGTCATTACTTGGATTCACACTTTTTATGGTTTTTGAGTCCCCTGACATGTGCAACGACTACTTTCGTTCTTCCCCTATTCCTGGAAAAGGATTCATCAGCTTCTCTGGTAGGTTGATAGAATATGGATCACAATTAACCCTCTTTCAATCGATTAGGTTTTCTTTACGCCTGTGGAGTGCTTTTTATTAGTTCAACAATTCTGATTGGTTTGTTTAAGAGAGAACTTGAAAATTCCAATCATGAGACGTCCTCACAAGTTGTTGATGTAACTGTGAATGAAAATGATGGCAATGAAGAAGCCTCGCGTGATCCAGTTGGTTCCGAGGAGCTGGAATTACCATCAAACAAAGAAAATGAGATGTTAGAAGCGAAGAACGAAAATCAGACCACCATGTTGAGGTGTAAATTCTTCTCTCGAGCTTACATATCAATGATCCGAATGTTGTTGCTGAAGCCAGTTCTTGTATATGTTGCATTCATCTTTTCACGAAACGTAAGTTTTAAGTTGATTTTACTGCAAATATTTCCTATATTTGTGCAATATAATTATTCATGTTATCTTTGCCTAATAAGTTAGTTTTGCTTATATCGTAATCTATGTGCATATTATTTGCCTCAAATGGTACCTTTCCGTTGCAAAACTTAATTAGACAATTTTGCCACTGAATAGAATCCATCTGCTTCACAGAGGGAAGGTTCATTAAAGGCAGAAAATGTCGAAAAGTGGGGGGGGGGGGAAGAGGTGTAAAAGAGACAGACAGACACAAAGGTAGAGAAAAAATTAAGGTGGAAGTGGTCGAATATGTCTTTCAGTTGGGACTTTGTATTTTGAAGTGAGATGTCAACTGCCCAGGGTGCCCCACGTGAAGGTAAGACTTTCGCACACCCCCCCATTACACATCATTGAATCAATGAAAACTAAATCAACCCCACCCCCCACCCCCCTGAATATATAAGACCAAATGGTTAAGTTGATGCAGTTATTGGAAAGTGTGTAATCTAATATATTTATTGACCTTAATATATCCCCGCTGAATGCAATGATCACGTTGCTTTTTATCTCACTTTCAGGTCATTTTCCTAGCAAGTGACTCTGTCTCCGGTTTAAAGCTAATCGAAAATGGGCTCTCGAAGGAAACGATGGCTCTCATTAACGCAATTTTGATACCTTACGACATTGTACTCCCACTTCTTGTCGTTCGATGCAGCAGTGGTCCTCGACCAATCAGCACTATGCTCAAATTCTCCATTCCATTGTCAGTTTCTTTTTCGTTAATTATTTCCGTACTGCTGATGTTAACAAGCTTCTAATAATATCTCTCTCTTTCTCTATGTCTCTTTCAAATTTAGATTCTTCCTGTCTTTTACATCAATACCACTTGTCTACTACGTTGATTTCTTTAAAACGGAGACACCGATTAACTCAACAATCGTTAATGGAAATAGCAGCAGTATAATCCAAGGTACCAAGGTATCCATGTCCCCTTACATCTACATAATCCTCACATTACGAGGTATTGTTTCTGGTGTATTCGGATCAATCATACATTTGAGTCAGGGGACCTTTCATGCTCGAATTGCTGATCCATCACTCGGGGGTACTTATATGACTTTACTGAACACACTTTGCAACTTATGTAAGTACTATTGATACCAAAGTGGCTTCTCCTTATGAGACGAGTTTTTGCATCTTTGTCATGAATAATAACTCAATGGCAGATGCCAAAACTCACAAATTTTCTGCATTATTTTAGCCGTTTCCCTACCCAATACCATCCTACTATTCTTCATCGATCCATTGACGTGGCGTACATGTGAAAATGCATCGGTGGAGAAGGCCATCAGCGTCCTTAATAGCACCTCAACTAATCGCACTGAGTTGGTAGAATTCGCGGAGAACTTCTTGTCAACTAATGCCACGTGTGTGGACTATGAAGGCAAGGAGGCCTGCAAATTAGCCGGTGGTGCCTGTCGAACAATCGTGGATGGCTACTACTTGATGTCTGGTGTGGGTTTCGTGTGTGGCATTGTCGGCTTCTACTTCCTGCATAAAATGTCCAAGTACTTAGATGGAAAGACTGTGGAGGAATACAGAGTGCACGAAAAGTCCGAATCACCTGAAAGGGCAGAAAGTTCTGGAGTTTCTTAACCACTTTGTTTTGTCTCCCCCGCCTTGATATTTGCTCCTCTTATGCACTCTTTGCAACAATTCTCATATATTGGTATCAAACATTATAGACGTCTTGGTTCAATATTGACCTTTCGTTTAGATGAAGCTATTTATAGTCTCGATATGCGTCGAAACAGATGAGTTTTGATTTTTGCTTCAGTATACGAAAGAGACGGTTTGAGAACTCTATTTCTCCTTGGAAAGCGGATCTATTGTGTCCCGCTGTTGAGTAGACAGAGAAGAGTTCAGATTAGACACCTGCACCAACGTGTTTTTTTTCTATGTATGACCCATCGATGAAGACTTTGAGGCATTGATTTGCAGGATAGTTGACACTGATTGTCTCCAGGGCCAGTGAGCGCATTTGTTCTCGAGAGGTGTTTGATTTCCTGAAGTAGTCAAGCAGTCGGGCGCAACACACTACATCAGTGTTGGATAATGGGTTCATGGGTAGAGGGAGGCTTTTTGGTTTGTCATCAATTTGTAATGCTTTCTTCAGTTCTATGGCTTTCTGTATTAGACCAGATTGCCTTTTCAGATGTCTTGGTCCATTCTCGTAGGTGCTGAAGAATTTAGCCATGGGAATGCTCAGTAGCTTCTAGTACAGGATCAAGGCCTTTTATTTGATAATGGAATATATTGCCGTGCTTCATATAACTGAGAGCATTGCATCAATGGTTGTTGATTTTATCCCTCCAGTAATTAGTCGTAATTGTGTTTCTATCCTGTAACCAGGAGCATTGCATCAATGGGTGTTAATTCTATCTTCTGTAACTTGGAGCATTGCATCAATGGGTGTTGATTTTATTCCTCCAGTAATTAGTCGTAATGCTGATGAGTGTTTCTATCTTCTGTAACTTGGAGCATTGCATCAATGGGTGTTGATTTTATTCCTCCCAGTAATAAGTCGTAATGCTTGGTTGTGTGCCTTCTCGAGTGAGTAATTAGTCGTAATGCTTGGTTGTGTGCCTTCTCAAGGGACTCTGTGGCTGTAATGAGTGGCTCACACCATACAACATTATTGGCCTGAATAAACAATCTTGTAAGTGGTGTTGAGAGTTGAGCGTGCACAGCCCCATAGGTGTAAGTGGTGTTTAGAGTTGAGCGCGCACAGCCCCATACTTACCAGCAAGACGCTTCAGTACATTTAGTCTATTGGAGACCACTCTGCTACGCTTTGCAACGTCATTCCGAGATATGTGAACTCATTGGTTTTTTCTAGGGTAGAATCCTTATAACTTAAAAGCGGGTTTATGGTGTGACGAGCCGAAGAAAATATTTGCGGGTTTATGCTAAGACGAGGGAGAGGAAATGTTTGGAATGCAGTATCGCGGTGTTGATAACCAGTACATTGTTGTCGCACCAGTTTGCTAGTAGTTTAAGTGCACTCATGTTGTCGCACCAGTTTGCTAGTAGTTTAAGTGCACTATTAAGAGCGCAGTTCGCTAGTAGTTTAAGTGCACAATTTAGGGCACTTTTATCATCTCATGAAGTAAGTGCACAATTTAGGACACTTTCTGTCCTCTCCTTAGCTTTTTTCTTAGGGGCGGAATACCATAGAACAAGATCATCTGCCTAAAGTAAGCACTTGATGCCCGTGAATGTCTCATCGATGAAGACATTGAAAAGAGTGCAGCTTGTGACAGCTCCCTGTCAACATTGAAAAGAGTGCAGGTTGTGACAGCTCCCTGTGGAAAAAAGAGTGCAGCTTGTGACAGCTCCCTGTGGAAGGCCTGTAATGCAGCTTGTGACAGCTCCCTGTGGAAGGCCTGTTTGTAAGGCTGGGACAGCTCCCTGTGGAAGGCCTGTTTGTAAAAGATTGGATCCTATGGAAGGCCTGTTTGCAAAAGATTGGATTTTGATAGAGCACTTCCATATCTGACTTTACACGATCTTTGTCCAATGAATGCTTTTAATCCAGTTTAGCATGTTATGCTTAGTACTAGTCTGCCAATTTTAGAATCAGCTTCTCTTTCAATACTAAGTCATATGCTGATGTGAAATCGACGAAAACAGCCGTAAGGGTATTTCTTGCATCAAGGGCATCTTTGATGTGTTGGGAGAAAGTGGCTACTTGTTGATTTGTTGATCTTTGTGCCCTAAAACCTGCTTGTTCACTCTCAAGAATATTGTTGGTCTCAAGGAACCAGGTGAGCCTCCTGTTAACCATTCTTTCCATAAGTTTAGCCAGCACGCTTGTGAGGGAGATAGGCCTATAGTTGTCAAAGTTGACAGGGTCGTTGCCCTATTTTAGTTCTGGTATTACTATGGCAACTTTCCATTGGTTAGGTATGAGACTGGTCTCCCAGATTTTGTTGAAAATCATCATCATGGTTTCATTGGCTTTTGGTCCCATTCTAATTAGAAATTGCGGATGAACACCATCTTCGCCAGGAGACTTCTTGCACTTTAACTGTTTTATCGCAGCATTAGTTTCGCAAGTTTGAATAATTCAGAAATTACTTAATTTCATCAAACTGTCTCACTTGTATCTTTATATCTCTTGAAGATTTTCTGAAAGAATGGTTTTTCTTTTGCTTGTGGGAATAGAACCTAGCAAAGTAGTTAGCTTTTTGAAGTCGGTGGTAAGCAGTTTGTTTTTTAAACGTATTGGTTCTTTCTTGGGTCTTTCTCTGTTGTTTTGGCGGTTATCCAGGAATTCGAAAGTGCGTTGGCTACCACTTTGATAGTTGATATTTGAGATGAAGTTGTCGAAGGAAGTCCGTTTAGCTTGTAAGATGGCTTGCCTTAGGACAGCTGACTACCATCTCCAGGCTTGTACGTCTTCCATTCTTCCAGTCTGATCAGCAGTGTTGCGAAGGGCGTCCAACTTTCTTTTCAGTTCCTCAAGGTGTTCTGACCAAAACACTAGATAGAGTTTAGTCTTGCCACGGGAAATTGTGCTATTTGCACATCTGATCAAAATATTCGTGATATCCTTGCAAAGTTTGTCAGGATGTTGGTTGAAGTTGAGGGGATTGTGTGAAGTTCATTCTCTAATAGGTTTGCGAATCTAGGCCAGTCAGCCTGATTATTTCGCATGTCTTGCGTCGAGCCCATACTCTTGATTAGATCGTAATGTAAGGTGAGGCCTTCTTTTACTCCTGTCAGAATTCCACTTACAAATTACCGGTATTTAGATAGAAGGTACAAGATGAAACCTGGGAATTGGTAGTATTTCAGATTGTCATCCGAAAGGTTTGCTTCCATAATTGTGAAAATGTCTACATCAGAGGTTTGTAGGATTTTCTGGACTTGAATCTTTTTGTCCTGTGACATCTCTCCAGCATTCCTCCGAAGGTTTTGTAGACGTTGTGATTCGCTCTTACGAGGGCGATTTCTCTTTTACCTCTGTTTCAAGCTAATCATAATAAATAGAAGACAAAATGTCGAGTGATATACTTTTTGCCGTATGAGTATACGTTGTCCAGCGTGCACCACATGGAGGTAAGTCTATTGCTCACCCCTGATGAGGGAATATATGATTTTGAAAACGAGAGACGACACTAAAGATTATTTTATGCCTTACAGCCCCACATGAACACGGTTCGAATATCTCAAGTTCCCACACTTCTTAGTCTTAAGGGGAATAAT